AGAATGAACCAACGGGAAAGAGGTCAGAAGGAGCCAGATCCGCCAGTGCCAGCCCTCTCTAGGGCTCCCTGGGGACCCCCAGTGGGCGAGTGCTGCAGGCGGCCCAGGCTAAACGTGCAGCGAGTCCCGCTCTCAGAGGTATCCGTGCCCCGCCCGCCTCCGCCCCGCCCCTTGTTCTGGCTTGTCCAGTCCCACAGAGTCCCACAGTCTTCATGTAAATGAGGCACCCAGAGAGAGCCTATGCGAGCGTGTCAGGGGCGTGGCCTGCCTTCCACTTCCCGAGCATCGCTCTGATTCATTGTTAAAATAAAGAGGCCATGACCCTGGCACTCCCACCCCGGCAGCCCCTGTGCGTGGAAATCCAGCCAAGGTTAGCACTGGGCCGCAGAAAAGAGGAGCTGGTAGGGGGAGGCCTACGGGAGGGGTAGGGGTCGAGGGATCCGGGGAGGAACTGGCTGAATGCCTGGATGGAGAGGGTCTCGGGTCCGTTCTCTGGGTGGGGCATGTGTAACTGCTTAAGGTTTTGATTATTATATCCACATCTCAAGTGCATTTTAGAGAAGGATTCTGCCTATTGGGTGTGGGTAGGAGAGGAAACGGGAGCAGAGAGGGGCACGTGGAGTAGAGCCACCTACCCACCCCCAGGAAAATCAGCGGCGTTCTCCTGCTAGGCGACGCTCCTTTATGTGGCCAGACCAGGAGAGAAACGCCCAGGACGGGCGGGGCCGATGCGCCCCTCTTCCACCACCAGGAGCCGGGAGGACGACCGCCCGGGGAGGATCGGAGACCCTGGGGCCACGGAAGGGCCAGTGGGTGGCCCTCTCCCCACCGTGCCCTGCTGTCGCCCCCACCCCATTCCCTTCTCCAGGTCTGATGATGGAGGAGCCTTGGCCTTGGCTGTCCCAGGGGAGGAGGTGAAATTCCTCAGCTCTCCACCAAGATCGGCAACAAAAGCCTGATCCCTGGAACACACCAGGTGAGGATGAATGAATGTGGGCAGGTGACCTGGGGGCACCAAAAGCTGCTTGTGTTTTGGGATGTTGGGTTCCTCCCACCCCCCACCGTCCCCTTGGGGCTCTGTGTGGCTGGGGAGGGCATCTTTAAGTGACTCTCCTGACCCAGCTTCATTCTAGGGCATGAATGTTGGCGGCCCAAGAGGCACCCAGAAAGGAGAACCCTTGTACAAGTTAAGACACCAGGGTTTCAGAAGGGTGTGATGCTTCACACCTGTAATCCCAGCACTTTGAGGGGCTGAAGGAGCAGGATTACTTGAGGTCAGGAGTTCAGGAGTTCAAAACCAGCCTGGGTAACACAGCAAGAGCCCTTTTTTTTTGTTTGTTTGTTTTTTGAGACACACTGTTGCCCAGGCTGGAGGGCAGCAGGGCGATCTTAGCTCCACCGCAACCTCTACCTCCCGGGTTCAGGCAATTCTCTTGCCCCAGCCTCTTGAGTAGCTGGGATTACAGGCGTGCGCCACCACGCCCAGCTAATTTTTGTAGTTTTAGTAGAGACAGGGTTTCACTATGTTGGCCAGGCTGGTCTTGAATTCCTGGCCTCAAGTGATCGGCCTGCCTCAGCCTCCCAAAGTGCTGGGATTATAGGCGTCAGCCACCGCACCTGGCCAAGAGCCCATTTTACAAAAGAAAAAGTTAAAAAATTAGCTGGGCATGGTGGCGTGCACCTGTATTCCCAGTTACTGGGGAGACTGAAGCTGGAGAATCATTTGAGCCCAGGAGTTTGAGACTGCAGTGAGCTGTGATCGAGCCACTGCACTCCAGCCTGGGTGACAGAGCAAGACCCTGCCCCCACCACCTCCTCAAAAAAGAAACTAGGGGCCAGGTGCAGTGGCTCACACCTGTAATCCCAGCATTTTGGGAGGCTGAAGGGGGTGGATCACCTGAGGTCAGGAGTTCGCCTGGCCAACATGGCAAAACCCC